CAGAGGTTAAGATTTACCAAATGGTAAGTTAACCAAGCTTTCTGGAATACCCCCCAGAAGACAAACAAACCGAAGGCAAAGGTACCAATAGGGCAAAGCAGAAAGTCAGAAACCGGGAAACCAAAACAATCATACACAGAAGTCAATCAGAACATAAGAAACCAAAACAGTCATACACAGATAATCAAACCAATCAGCAAACCAAAGACAATCCAAACAATGAGCAGAGCTCCAGAAGTTTGCGATCCGCGGTCTTTTCTTCATAGGAACCAGGAAGTGACGCGTGATGCATCAGAGGATATGTGGGCGGGGTCCAGTCAAGGAGGCGGAGCCAAGATGCAGCCGGCGAATGACGACGGAGGAGGGAGGTCCGGAGATTCTGCAGGGCTCCCCCTGGCACTTACGGCACGTAACAGCCGGCATACACGTTAACGTTAGCCGTATAACTATTACCAGACTGACTGACAGCCACATTAACCATATATTAAGTTATCGTTAAGGTAGCGGCTACGGCTAATAATAAAATCATAGGCAACCTAAAAATATTGTCATTGTTGCTGGTTGATATTTATTTTTTGGGGGATTTTACTTTTTTGTACTTGCACTGCGTCAGAGAACTTAAAAAGTGTTGTCATTGATGTTATTGCTTGTTTTGTTCTAATCTTCATTTTAAAAAACGTATGCCTCTGTACAATTGTAGTATTGTGACAACCCTATTTGTTCCAGTAACTTTCCACACAATATATTGATTACAATATTATTGACCCATTCTTAGTTATAATCATTATTAATATAAGGCCGGAAAAAAAACATATGGTTGACCCACAAATCTAATATTAATAACAATAACATATTGACATATTGTTAGCAGGGTTCCAAGTTTACAATTTATCAATGTCATTACCATAACAAAATGTATTTTATCTTTAATAATTAAATAAACATTGCAATTGGGTACAATGTTCTATTTATCTCATGCTACCTTTTCCTCATCCATTCTCCTTATTGTAATTTCAGGCACATTCCTTTGTCTAAGGAAGCTGTGTAGATCATCCATGCTGTAGAAATGTATTAAATGGATTAACACAAGACAAATGACAACAGTGGTACTGAAATTAATAAATCAACATTATGGTTTTGCTCTAAGACAAGAG